CCTCCCTCACTGCTCTAAAAAGGACAGCCACCCCCTGCATTCTCCCTCAGCATCTCGTTTCCTTTCCAGCACATCCACATGGCTTTATGGGAATTGATCTGTTATTTTTAACCTGTTGGGTCCACCAGACTCTAAGCTCCATGAGAGTAGGAATAAATATGTATTATTCAGCATAATTCTCAAAATCTAACAATTCCTGGCATGTGCCTAAAAATGGTAATTAACATTTTTTATTTCTCTAATATGCCACATCTTCACAGTTACCGCTGCTCCCTCTACTGAGACTACCACCACCATCATCCCTGCTCCCCTCTGCTACCACTCTTGCCCTTTGCACACCTTTACTTATCTCTCCTGTCTCAGCTAAAACACCTTCGTGATGAAGGCTGCTTTCCTTCCTTGAGCTGTCCTGAGAAAAGTCTCTCCATTTCCTTACCTAGTCGGGACTAGCTCCATCTCGACCATAGCACTGACCGGAGTGTATCATACTGGGGCTTTTTTGGTGGGGAGGGAGCCTGAAGGGAGTTTGTTTTGTTTTGCATTTGTCTCACTACCTTGGAAAACCTTAAAATGAATTAAAACCTTTTGATTTTTGTGTCCCTAGCACTTAGCCCACTACCAGGCACATGATACAGTACTACTAATCAAGACAATACCAATAATGACTAACATTTTGAGTGCTCAATATGTGCTTCACACCCTTAGTTCTATAGTGAGTGAGTGAATGAATAAATGGATACCCTTCTTGGTCACAAACCTCGAAGAGGTCACAGTCTGACAGGGACAGAAGACAGGTATGCTGGCTAATGCAGAATAAATACCACCACAGGGCCAAATGAGCTGCCCTGTCCTGTCCCTACACCTTCAAATCTTAGAGTATGCTTTTCTCTGCATCCATAAATGTCAAGTTTCCTCAAACTCACTTGGACTACTTCCTTCGATTACTTGCAATCCACTTCCTGCCCTTGGTGCCTGGAAACAATTTCTAGGATGTCACCACAAGCAATATTAAACTGCCACACAGTTTCCTGCTGTATGTCTACATTATCAGTTAAATTGCTTCATATTAACCACATTCTAGTCCACTGGGATCACTCAAATACTAAATAAGATTTAAACCTACCTGTCAAAGATTGCCAGTTTCCACTGCTCCTTTTATCCCTCTAGATAAAGGTCTGCTCAGATTTAAAGTTCAGGAGCTTTCCAGGGTGCTACCTGCATACTGGTGACCTTTTCTTTCCCTGGCCAAGTAGATGTTTGGTTTGAAGCTAGACAATGTTCATTTAGATAAACATGAATTAAAAAAAAAAAAACACTCTTTAGAAAAAAAGTAATTCTCTGCATAGACCAGGGCAATTAACTTAAAAACATAAAAACTCTTTATCCTCAAGAGTTCAGGTAGCAAATTGTTCTTTTAACTCTATGTACACTCACCTTGGAGCCTTAGTCAGGATCTTAATTCAGATCCTACCATAAATCATTAATCCTACCTTCAATCAGTCCATAAATTCTTCCTAACAACTTTGTATGTCAGGTACCAGGTCTGACAAAGGGAACTCAAGGACAAATAAGACAGTTCTGCTCTCAAGAAGTTTATCTCCCGTTTAATATGGAAGACAGTCAAGGCACTGAATTTGGTGCTAGAACAGTGTTAAACACAAGGGGCCACAGACACTCATGAGGGGCACCTGGCCTGGGCTGGCGAGGAGTGCACAGATAAAGGGCACCTGCTTGGGACGCCTGGGTGGCTCAGTTGGTTAAGCGACTGCCTTCGGCTCAGGTCATAATCCTGAAGTCCCGGGATCGAGTCCCGCATCGGGCTCCCTGCTCGGCAGGGAGTCTGCCTCTCCCTCTGACCCTCTTCCCTCTCATGCTCTCTCTCATTCTCTCTCTCAAATAAATAAATAAAATCTTTAAAAAAATAAAAATAGGGCACCTGCTTTACGGTGAAGAGAAGATGCACAGATGAGGGGCACCCGGCCTAGGCTGGTGGGGGGGGTGGTTGCATAGATGAGGGCAGCTGGCCGAGGCTGGGGAGGGGGCTGAGGGTGCAGAATTAGCATCAGGGCAGGCTTCCCGGGGACAGCATCTAATCTTAGGCAAAAACTCCCATTCTCTCACATGAAAAATGTTAGTAGTGCCTACATCATTGGACAGTTGTAGGGATTTGGTGAAATGGTTCACATAAAGCAATACCATCATGCCTGACACAGAGACTGTGCTCAACCAGCCTTAGCTTGAAGTGTGATCAAGCACTAAATCTCAACACCTGTGCCTAGCAACGCACCTGCTTTACTACTAATCATACAACAGACACCAGCTGTACAATTACACAGTATTGTTTTAATCAACTTTTATTTTTTAATAAGAGAACGTTAAGTCCTGCTCTTCACATCAACAGTCTAATTCCTTGATCAAAACTTTCTTCATTTCTTAAAACATACCATTTCTGACACTTCTGGCATAAAATATACGGGTTTTCTTAGTTTGATAGAGAAGGTATAAAAGAGAACAATTGCTGAATTTTTAATACAGGGCCAGCAATCATGTTGATACAGCATTTATTGCTCATTATGACTCTGCAACATATAGTCTTCCCCATTATACCCTTAGGGAAACTGAGGGTGAAAGAGGTAGTTTGTGTGAAGTTCCATAGTCAGTAGACAAAAGAGCTGGAATCTGAACCAGATCTGATTCCACATCATCAGCCTGACTGGGCCACACAGCATCAGAGACAAGAGGAAACACTGGCAGCCACAGTGCTCTCCTGTTGAGGGGCCCCGGAGTGCTGTGTTCCACCCCCACCCCAACGCGCGCACGCACACACACACACACACACACACAACTGTCCCTACACAACAGAACCTGCACACTTAGATTTCAGCTCAGGCAGCTCAATACCTTGAGCTAATTCTGTTCTTTCCTGTCAGGGTAAAACAGTGACCAAAGCTCTATTTCCTCCAAAGACTAGGGCAGCATCTATATAGACGGTCCCTAACCACCTGTCCATCCCCATATCTAGCTGCAGACAGAAGTTGCTTAGTCAATAGTCACCATAAATCACAACTATTTTTCATAACTTCTCTTCATATTCTCTTTGTCTCACCGCAAATAAAGCAACAGATTTCCCAAGCCTAAGCTTTTATCTCAGTCTAGTTTCAAGATCAAAAAAAGCTATTCTTTAGGCTAATTTCACACCTTAGTATGTTCCTTCACCCAAGTGCTCAGCTATAACAGTAATGGGTTCCACAAAACACACTTGAGAAATGTATGTTAACCTGCAACCTTCAAGAGCAATAGAGAGACCTGATGTCTAGTCATCTGACCTTCCACTGGCTGGCTTTTCATGCTGGTTCTGACACTGACAGCTTCATATCAGGCAAGTTTCTGAACTTCTTTATAACAAAGGTAAGCATCCTCACAAGCATACTCTGCGACTGTAAGGTGGCTTTTGGAAAGTGTTTCTAAGTGCTATTGAAATTCAAGTTTACAACTCTTTCTTGCAAACAAGAGCTAAACTTGGAGTACCTCCTTAATCCCAATGCTTTACAAACTACGTCTTTTTACCTCCCAAGCCTCTTAAACTGTTGTTTGGAGCACACTTCTTTCTCCCCTTGTTTCCACAGAATCAAGAATGAACAGTGTGCTCATCCGACTGTTCCATTTTCATCATCATAAGCAAACTTTTCTAGCTTCATTCAGCGGATGTCTCAGGGCTGCTGCAGCACATGAGACACTTAGTGAATGGGAAGCCTAAGCGGACTACAAGGATGGGCAAGGGTCACGCTGCATGGACATCGACTGGACATGAGAGACAACATCCGAATAATTATTAGAGTTCGTCCTCAAGGCCCTTCCCCTTTCAAACTTCCCAAGCATTATTCTCAAAGTGCTGAAATAAACACATTCCACAGACTTTCTTGTAAGCAGGTTTAAAGTGTCCTATGGTGCTCTTGCTGTTGTTGTTTGAACTTTACATGAAAAAGCTTTGTCACGAGAAAAAAATAATAAAGTGTCCTATGAAAGCCGTTTAGGGAAAAGCCTATGCTGTCAACTTTATTTAAGTGCCCTTAAACAATTCTATTACTCATAGAGAAAAGTGAACATTTGTTAGTGATTAGAGATAAGGCATCTCATGTTCTGGAGCTGAGGAAGGGAGAGGCCGAAAAAGGACCTGACGGGGAGGGGAGATAGAGTCTAAAGCAACACACCCAAATTGGACTGCATAAAAGTTGCACTTTCCAAAGTCAACTTCTAGGTCTAGAAGCAAGGCAACAATGTTTCAATGGGTTCTGAAGTTTGATGTATCAACAATATCCCCAGAAAACTAATCCCCCACTGAGGACCCCCAGGTGAATGAATGAGGGAATTTGCCAGATTGGATTACAAAGCCTTTCCAACCACTATCAAGATCAGGTGCTCAATTACGACACAGAGGCATCTCTCCTCATAGCCTTTGGCCCTTGCTGTGTGGAGACTTTCACAGATAAGAGGTAGAAGAGGAAAGGGAAAAGGGCCTTCCTCCTCAGGCCATCCAGACCTTAAATCCATGAGTGGCCCCACCGAGGACCTCGGGCGACTTTATGTGGGGACCGCAGGCCGTAAGCAGACCTCTCAGGACCTGCCCAACTCTCAGGGGCGCCCCAAACACACCCATTTGGGGAGTTGCTTCCGGAGATTTCTCGCCCTCCCCCCAACAGTTGTATGAGCATTTTCAGAGGTTCTATTACCCCCGGGAGGGGGGCCACCTTGTAATCTCTGTGACTCCCGCCCTCAGGTAAGGAGGGGACACCTGACCACTGGAGCCCTTCCACCCCGCGCGCACCCCGCCCCCGCGCCTCCCTGGATCGCCATGGCAACCGTCCCCCTCCCCGCGTGACGCCGGCACGCGGGGCGCCCCTCAGGCCCCGGCAACAAGTCCCCCGCGCCGCCCGCGGCCTGCAGCCCTCTCCCGGCCTCGCCGCCCCGCGCCCGGCCCGGCTCCGCCCGGCCGCACTCACTTGATCCTGGAGCCCATGGTCCCCGGGCCTCCTCATGGGCCCGCGGGCCCCGCTCGGCGCTGCGCTGCCCGCCCGCCCGCGGCCGACCGGCCTCCCTCCGGCGCTCTCCCCGCCCCTTCCTCCCTTCCCTCAGGCTGGGCCCGCCCGCTCGAAGCTCGCTCCCTCGTCGCCGCCGCCGCCGCCTCCCCGGGTTAATGTACTCGCTCCAGCCCGGCGAACGCCATGGTCGCCGGCGCGCGTACCCGGCGCGCACCGCCCCCTCCGCCTCTCACACCGCCACCTCCTCCTGCCCGCGCCGCCGCCGCCACCCGCGGGGGCTGCCGGGAAGTGTAGTCCGCTCGCTGGAGGCGGGGCCGCCTGAAGGCGGCGGAGGGCGGGAGCCGTTCCTCAGCCCTCGGGACTCGCGGAGCTGGGCGCGCCGTTTCCCCGAGGCCCCGCGAAGACTTCCATCCATCGTGCTCCCATTGAAACCTCCACCTACAGAGTGTGGTGAATATACCCTCATCCTATAGAGGCCCCCGAGCTCACCTGAAGAAACCTTCACCCATTCCAACATTATGAGTCCTCCCGCCTAGTAGTTTTGGCGTTGAGATAATGTCTCCCATTCAGGCCTCGGGGAAAACAGAAGTTTTCCCTTTTTTAAATGCCATACCTTCCAGTAAGTTCCTTCAGGGGCCACAGACCCTCTTCTCTATCACACTTTCCACTTCCCCAACATGGTCCTTGATGGAAACCCCTTCCTCTCCCCTTAGATCTTTAAGGAGACCTCTCATACCCACAGGAACACCACCGGAGGCTTCCTACTACCCATTTAGTGACTCTGCTCTGCCCTACCCTACCCTTGAGGACTTCTGCCTCCCTTTATAAGCCATTTTGGGGGCTCCATACAGAAAGGTCATGTCACCGTAATAGTCCCTGATAGAGAGTAGTTACTCAACGCAAATGAACGTATTTGAGTCAAGCACCAACCTGCTGCTACCTGCCTCCTGTCCTCCTTGGGGCTCACTTTCATGAACACCCCAATATCATTCCCTCTAAGCCTGGGGGAATCACAAAGGAAGCAATAGAGACGGCTGCCCTTAGTACCGACCGTTCACTGAGTGGGTGAGTGTTCTCCCTGAACCAGGCACTACTGGTTCTCTACTATTTCCCCTACATGGTGAGCACCGATCCTCACAATAATCTTGTGAGTTTATCCCCCACCCCCACCCCTCGCCAACACACACACACATCCATTTCACAAAGAGGAAAGGTTACATAACTTGCGACTGGTGGAGCGGAGATTAGCATCCAGGCTGAATAATTCCAAACACATGTGACACAGTTATGATTTAGGATGGCACCTTTGGCTACAAGTCAGAAGACATAGGTTCATGGTTCACTTTTGAAATTAATCTTTTCTTCTCCTTCTTCCTCTTCTTCTTTTACAATTTTCTGTTTTAAAATGCTATTCATTCCTTCTGCCATTTTAGCTCTTGTAAATTCCTGAGCTGTCTCCCCACCCCTCAATCACTACAGTAACTGGTCCTAGGTCCCAGCCAAGCAGGGAGCAAAGCAAACAAGAAGAACTGCCTCTTTTGGAGTTATAGTCCGTATAAAGGTAATTTCTCTCTTTTGCCTATGCCTTGAGATTGTTGAAAGCAAAGAGTGAACTTTTTTGAATTAAAGCAAAAAAATTGAAAATCCAAACCGCCATTTTGAATTCAAAGTCTTTTGCACCCAGACACCAACACTGACTTATAAACACCCCCAGGAGCAAAGCTCTGCTAGACAGACAGGTCCTCTGTGGTGTTTATTCACCTTGTTTCCTATGAACCCTCTCCAAAGAACAGTTGTTATCAAGATCTTCCCTGGAATGAGCAGCCAGTTCAAAAGCTCTGAGCAGGAGACTATAAATAAAACAAAGTTATTTGGTGGAGGGCAAAGTTGGCTGCTTTTCAAAGGAGGTTGTAGCCATCCTGGCCACAAAAATGTCTGGGTGCCTGCTGGGTGGTGTGTGTGTGTGTGTGTGTGTGTGTGTGTGTGTGTGTGTGTGTGTGTGTTTTGGAGGGGGAGACTGGAGGTGGGCTTGGGGGGTTATGTATCTGTCCAGGTGGCCTCTGAAACTGCAGGGTGGTCTGGGGAGAGAGCATTGAACTGGGAGTTAGGAGTCTGACTTCTAGTGCTATAGCTGCACCACTGTCGAGCAGAGAAATTTAAAGCAAATGATTAGAAAATTGCCTGGTTCAGTTTCCTCCTCAGTAAAATGGCTAGGGTGAGGAGGAGCTCACATCATAAGAGAAAATATAATGTAGGAGCTAAGAGCCCAGAATATGGAGACATACTTCTTGGGTCCGATCTCAGCTCTACCTCTGACTAAATGTGTGCCCTTGGGTAAGTTATTCACTCTCTCTGTGCCTCAGTTTCTCTGTCTGTAAAATGGAAATTATGGTCATAGATCTTACCGAGTTGACATGAAAATTAAATGAGTACATGACACTTATAAAGTATTTAAACAGTGACCAGCTTATAGGAAGCATGCAAAAATTAACAGCAACTATTATATGCACAACTCAGCACAGTTTTGCTTTTATTATTAATAGTAATAATCTTCATAAGAAATAGTCCTGTACTTGGATTCAGGAGAACTGAGTTTCCAACCCAGAATGTTATTGTTTACATTCCGAGTCAGAATTTAGTTCAGCTGTAAATGAAAGAAGACTGAAATAACAGTGACTGAAAAAAAAGAGTTTCTCCTTCACATAAGGTCTGGGGATGAACGTTCCAGAGCTGGTATGGCAGTTCTGTAAAGCATACTGTAAGATTTGAAGGCATAGAAACAGGACAGGTCAGCTGATTTGGCCTTGTGGTAGTGTTTATTCTGCATTAGCCTGTATACCTGTCTTCTGTTTCTGTCAGACTCTTTGAGGTTGGTGGCCCAGAATTCTATCTTATTGTGCCCCTCTTCTCCCAATGAGCTTCCACCTTGTGGTCCAGAAGAGCTGCTTGAACTCTAGCCATCTAATCTGCAACCCAGCCAGCAGGAAGAAAGAAGGTCATGCCTAATCCCAACCCCTAATCTTTAAATACACTTCCCTGGAGTTCCTCACACCACTTCCCTTTACATTCTATTGGCCAGAACTTAGTTATACAACCACATCTCATTAGGAAATACAGCCCTTTTTTTTTTTTCCAGACAATCATGTGCACAGCTAAAGGGGGTCATTTCCAGGGAAGAAAGGGAGAAAAAAGGGACGCCTGGGTGGTTCAGTTGGTTAAGCGTCTGGCTTCGGCTCAGATCATGACCCCAGGGCCCTGGGATCGAGTCCCACATCGGGCTCTTTGCTCAGCAGGGAGCTTGCTTCTCCCTGTTTGTGTGCACATGCTCGCTCTCTCTGACAAATAAATAAAATCTTAAAAAAAAAAAGAATGGAAGAAAAGATATTGCAAAACAACCAGCAGGCTCAGCCAAGCAATGCTTGGCTTTATGACCTTGGGCAAGTCACTGTATTTCTCTGGGCCTCAGTCTCCCTAGACCCAAAGTAAGAGAATCACACCAAATGATGTCTCTTCAAATCCCTTTTCAGGGGCACCTGGGTGGCTCAGTCAGTTCAGCGTCTGACTTTGGCTCGGATCATGATCCCGGGGTCCTGGGATCGAGCCCGCCTGGGGCTCCCTGCTCAGTGAGGAGTCTGCTTCTCCCCCTGCCCCTCCCCTCCCTCTTGCTCTCTCTCTCAAATAAGTAAATACAATCTTTTTTTTTAAAGCCCTTTTCTGTTCTGAAATTCTATAATTCAGTTTTATAAATCTAGTTGAATCTGAGGTTATTCAGTTAAAAGGAGGCCTCTCTGCCAAGTATATGGCATAATCAATTGTTGGAATTGAAACCTTCCGGTGATGAGGAGGGATTTAGGAACTTTGCCTTCTGGCCTGTTGTAAAAATAGGCTAAGCATCCCTAGCGGACAAATAGTCCAACAGTTTGTGTGATACCCCCCGCGCAGACACTCTGATGCTCCTGTTTCCAAGTTTACCCTCACTCTCTGTACCTGTTTGGGTTTTTCTGCTTAGGATTTTGAGAGCTGTATCTATTGAGGGAAGGATAGCAATCCCAAAGATCTCTCATACCTCATTAACGATATGATATGAAACAGCAGGATCAATGGTCCAGTGGTATGTTGTTCTGGCCCACTTAGTCGTGATTATATATATATATTTTAAACTGGGATAAAATTCACATGCCATAAAAGTCACCATTTTAACATGTATAAGTCAATGCTTGTTAGTATAGTCACAAAATTGGACAACTATCACCACTACCTAACTTTTTAACACTTTATCGTCCCAAAAAGAAACCCTGCATCCACTAGTGCTCACTCATCCCCTTGCCCCTGGCAACCATGAATCTTTCCGTCTCTCTGCAGTTGCCTATTCCGGATATTTCATATAAGAGGAATCACATAATAATGCGGCCATTCTGCCTGGTTTCTTTCGCTTAGCATAATGTTTTCAAAGTTTATCCATGCCGTACCTCCTGTCAGTACATCATTCTTTTTGATTGTCATGTAACATTCTATTGTGTGGTTGGACCACATTTTGTTGTCGATGGGCATTTGGGTTGTTTCCACGTTTTGGCTATGATGAATAATGCTGCTCTGAACATTCACATACAAGTTTTTATGCGGACGTATGTTTATAATTCTCTTGGGTGTTGTGGTTATGTTCTTCGGAAAGAAGATGCAAAGTGCATTGTGGGTCTCTTTGGAGGAGAACACAGGTCTTCCCAGTAGTAAGAGAATAGACACTGGAATAAAGCAGATCCAAGGTGCTCGTTAAGTGAATTTGGAGAAAGTTACTTAAACTCTCTGAGCCTTAGTTTTCACATTTTTAATAAGGGGATGATAATACCCACCTCAGGACGATGAAATGAAATAAAGAATGTAGGATTCCTGCTATATACATTTGGTATTCAATAAATGGAAATATTATTATGCTAAATTGTCAGATTGATAAAGACAGTAACTACATCAGGCTTATCCATACCTGGACCTCAACATCTAGTACAGAGCCTGGCATGCATGCGGTGACCAGTAAATATTTATTGAATAAATAAA